AGGGGGCAGCAGGGGGCGCTCCTGGCACAAAGGGGGACAGGGAGGCTGCTGTGCTCACCCCCCCACCCCCCCCGTGACCCCACAGCCGCAGCGCGCAGGAGGCCCTGAACCCCGAGGACGAGGTGGATGAGTTCCTGGGCCGGGCCATTGACGCCCGCAGCATCGACCAGCTGCGCAAGGATCATGTCAAGAAATTCCTGCTGACCTTCCAGACGCCGGAGCTGGAGAAGAAGGTACCGGGGCCCTCTGTCCCACCTCCACCCCATCCTGCTCCACAGCGGGGTGCCTCTGGCGCCCCCCCATCCTGCCCTTCGGCCCCCAGTCCCCCCCGCTCATCCCCCATCCTCTGCGCTTGCTCCCCCGTCTCTGCCTGCCTCCCCGAGGGCTCAGAGAGACGCCCCTCCCTCCCCCCCGGTAGCATGGCTGTGTCCCGTCCCCCCCCAGCAGTAACCCTGCCCCCTCTCCCCACAGTACTCCAAGAAGGTGGATGATCGCTTTGGGGGCTACGTGGCCTGCACGCTGCTCGTCTTCTGCTTCATCTGCTTTATCCAGTTTGTGATGTTCCCACGGTAAGTCCAGTCTCCCCCCCAGCCCCATGCCCTCCCACAGCGCTGGCAGCCCCCCCCTCCCGCCCGCCCGCCCCGTGTGGTCCCAGAGCAGGCCTGGCTGCAGCATCTCCACCCTGCCCCTCTTGCTCGTACGGAGCCCAGGCAGCCCGCGCCCCGTGGGGTCAGAGGCTCACGCTGCCCCTCTCTCCGCAGCTCCCCACTGATGCTCGGTGTCTACATCAGCATCTTCGTCATCCTGGCCAACATCCTCTTCGTCTGCGCCGTCTATTCCTGCATCAGCGTGAGTATCGGCTCCGTGCGTGTGCGTGTCGGCATCCCCTGCTCCCGCCTCAGTGCGCGTGTGTGTGCGTGTGCACACGCGTGTGCACTCTCTGCTCCGTCAGCGTGCAGGCCAGCTCCCTGTACCCAGGTGAGCATAATGAGCTCCCTAGGGTGCTAGGCTGTCTGGTGGTGGTGTGGGGGGAGGGGAGGACATGCAGGAGGGCCGGGGCCCTGTCCTGCTAGGGGGCAGGACACGTGGGGAGGTGGCTCCTCTCGGGCCAGACTGATTGGGGCTGTCGTGCGAGGCCGGATGGCCGGGGAGGGGGCTGTCGTGCGAGGCCGGAACCCCTCTCTCAGCCCTCTTTTGCCCCCACCCCAGCTCTTCCCCGCAGCCCTGCAGCGGGTCTCCCGGAAGATCGTCCGCTCCCGCACCCACAGCACCTTCATTGCCGTCTTCACCATCCTCCTCGTCTTCATCTCGGCCTTTGTCAACATGGTACAGCCCCGCGGGGGAGCGGGGTCGCTGGAGGGGGGCGTGGTACAGAGTGGGGGATGGGGGATCTCACGGGGGGGGGGAAGCTGGGGGAGA